GAACAAAAAGAAACTAAACATTGAGAGAGGTTGTTCTTGGTCCATACTACCTACATCAGCCCTGAAAACATTAGCACTGATTGGCTGGAGCTGACCCTCACACGTGTCTTTAGAAGGGGACTCTTTGGAACACCTTACACTCCCAAAGACACAAAGTTCACAGCAGACACAGAAAACTTCCCCCACCAAGTTTACCCAGGGTCACCTGATAAGAGTTTGCTATTCATACTCACCAGGGTGACAATGGCACATTCAGCTGTCAGCTGAGCAGCACTGAACAGTGTCCGAACGAACCGGTAAATCTGCTTCTGCTCTGGGTTGTGTTTGTCATAATCTGGTGGCACTGGATTTCTAAGAAAAAGAAGCTTGGGATGACTGCCACGTGGACAGGAGCAAGAGACAACTAACTAGATCATCTCATGCGAAACACAAGAGGGCAATTACCTCAAAGAGGGTGGAGGTTTTCATCAAAAATATCTTAAGAGCATCCTTCCATCTGGGTCCCTGGTGAGGAAAGCAATAGAAATCAGAGTTTACTTTCTGCAGAATAAATGCCATTCAAAAAGAAACAAAGCAATATCAGTTCAACAGACAGAAATTGCTAAATTTAAGAGACACTGTTGGTTATTTCCTGTAAATAATGAATCATTTTTCTCAGGTACAGCATTTAATCATTTTTTTGTTGTTGAATCCAGAGATTAAAAACCTCTCGTGAATTAAGGAAAATGTTGGCTTTAACCAACCTACTTTTTATTTTTTTAAAATCTGTATTCCACTGCTTTCACAATTTTCCACCTTCCCTCCTCATGAACCTTCACTCTAAATCTAAAATGATTTAATTTTAACACTTGCCCCCCTAACTTTTGGTAACCATATGGTGGTTGATATGAAGCAGTCTGGGGGTGGGGTGAGGAACGTGACATGCAGCACGAAATGTAGATCGACCAAATGGTCACAATACCCACCAATAATTCCAGTAACTAAGGAAATGAATTTGAGGCATCTCCAGCAGCACTTACTTGTATTGAATCATGTGACAGAACTACAGCTTTTGTTCTGAACACACTGTATGCATACTGTACCCTTGTAGCCACACTGGCTGAAACACTCCTGCTGGGACTTGAGATCATAGAAGATTTTACTGTATATACAAAGGTATCTGACCTTATAGAAGCATACTATTTAATTATATAAAAAATACAATATTTTAGTATTTTCCTACTGTCATTTCTATGCATGGAAGCACTCAAAATGAACATTTCTGGATTATAGTGTGTTAGAATATCTTATCTTATAAATGCAGCTTTTTGAATTGCTGACTTGAATTTCATAAACCATCACTCATTAAATTCGACACGGAAAAGGACAGAATTTCTAGCCATTTCTGAAATCCCCTAAACATACTTCTGCCATTTTATATTGGGTATATATGTGAAACAGCATCCTCTGCATTAAAAATTATGAAAGTATCAGTAAATCCAGAAAAACTCAAAAGTCCCTGTGTCCTACATTCAGCTAAAGTTTCTTCATTAAATTAAACAAGCACACCCATCTCACAAGCCTGCAATTTTGTTTTTTAATAAATGGCAAAACTGTTTTACATTGTATAAATTCTCTTATCAGCATATGTGCATTTGTATATTCGTTTATAAAACCAGAAGGCTGTGAATGGATAAAAGTTTAGAAGAACTAGTCCTGAGAGTAGACAAGGCTGCCAGCCATGGGTCTACATAGCAACTAGGGTTGTGGCCTCTGGTTCACATAGCACCTTAGGATGTTGACTCCTGTGTGTATAGTATTTTGGGCTGCTAGCCTCAGGTTCATACACTGCTTTGGGCTACTGGGTTGTGGTCTACAGAGCACTTTGGATCACTGCTGGCATGCTGTCTACAGATCCTTGAGGTGATGGCTTCGATGTATGGGGCTTTGAGCTGTTGGTTTCTGCGATGTAGTGGTTTGAGATGCTGGCCTTTCATCTGTATAATGTTTTAGGTTGCTGACTCTCTGATCCACACAGTGCCTTGAGTTGTTAGCTTCTAGTCTACATAACACTAAAGACTCCAGCCTAGGGTGTAAGCAGTTTGGCTCTTGTGGGCCTCTGACCTATAAAAGTGCTTTTGAGATGTCCGACTCTAGTCTACTTCTTGGTAGAGGCTGCTGGGCTCCTGGCTTCAACTCCAGAGCCTTGGAGTACAGAGCACATCTCATCTCATCAGCCACAGATCTGCTGTTAATATAATTTGAGTTTTGTTCACAAATTTAGTTTAAAAGCCACAACTGTTGTAAGTCCTATCTTGTTTTTCTACCTGCAGTGATAAGATATCAAAAGCACTTTGAAGAGAAAAGGACCTCTGGCTTACATGTTCTGATCACAGTTGATCACTGAGGAATTTGAGGCAGAAATTCAAGGCAGGACCACGGAGGAAGGAAGCAGAAACCATGAAGGAATGCTATTTGCCTATTTTGATTTTTTTTTAAATATATAACTTAAGACTACTCACTCCAGGGATGGAAATGCCTACAGTCAGATGGGCCCTCCCATATCAACTTTCAATCAAAAAAATACCCCCACATACCTTCCTATAAGCTAATCTGATAGAGACATTTTTTTTTTCAATTGAGGTTCTATTTTAGCAGATTACTCTAGCTATGTCAAGTTGAAAAAAAAAAACCAAGCAAACAAATAAACAACCCCACAGTGATTTTAAAGGTAATATCACATAATTTTTAGTATGCGTATAAAGGCTCAGCTCTGGAACACCAGGTTTACTGACCTACTCCCTAAATATATCTATCTATCATGTTAAAATTCTAATTTATAAAAACAAACAAACAAACAAAAACCATTCTAATTTATGCTTTATAAATTTAACATCTCTATAAAAGCCCAACAAGTCTGTTCCAGCAACAGGTATAGAAACTAACAAAAGTTCTGAGCATCTACCTACCCGTGCCCTGTACACAAGAGCCTGGCAGTAAGAGAATAGATAAACTCCAAGGGAAAGAAAGGTCCAGTCCTATCATGAAACTGAAAGCCTGTGTGTACCACAGGCTGCACTGCCTCTGGCCATGTCCCCAGCCATTAAGAGTCAGCAGACCCCTACTTTCCTGTGGCAAACATTCAAAAGCCTGGCCAGCACGCTACACCACCAAGAGGGCTATTCAGTTTTTCCTGATGAATGGGAATCACTTAAAAACATGCAGCATGCCAGAGAAAAAATTTGCCAAAAGAAATTGGAAAATAAATTAAGAATGTGAATGATGGGATGTGAATGTAGGAAGGAGTTGGTAACAATACTGTCTAGTATTGATGAAGCCTGAGACTTGAGCCACAACATGACAGCCAGGTGGAGTAACTCCAAAAGAGAGGAGAACAGAAAGCAAGGAAGGAAAGATTAAGAACTTAAGCTAATGTGACAAAAAATTTAATGTATACTGTTTCCCCCTTCCCTTATCTTACCAAACCATGTATTTCAGGTGAATCAAGTACTACATCCTTCCAGCTGACAGATACATGGCTAGCCCCACAGGACTGTTTAGAGGCTGTGCACGACAAAGTCTACAGACAAGACATACCGTCCTGCCCCCAGAAAGGTTCAGGATTCTACCTCCAGATTAATCAAATTAACTTTATTCTTTCTCCACTCAACCTCACCTTTGACTCCATTTATCAACATCTATAAGAACAGAGGGATTAAAGGTCATGGGTAGTAAGTAGACAGGGCTCAACTCCTAAATTCCCAACTGACTACCTGCCAGTTTTTAAGGTTTTATTGAATCTCTGAGGTTGTTTGAATAGCAATGGCCCCAACAGGTTCCCAGACTGGAATGCTTGGTCATTAGGAGTAGCACTACCACTGATATGGATTAGGAAGCACGATCTTGCTGAAGTAGGTGTGGCCTTGTTGAAAAAAGTTATCACCGGTGGTGGGCAAGGGGTGGGCTTTGGGGCTTCAACACTTGTAAGGCACAGTATGTCTTTTTTTCTTTCTGTTCCCTGCTAATCCTGATGTAGAACTTTCAGCTATCTCTCCAGCACCATGTCTGCCAGAACAATTACCCACATGCCCCCCATCATGATGACAATAGATTAAATCTCTTTAAGCCAGCCCCTGTAAAATGCCTTCTAAGAGCTGCTGTGGTCACCTTGTCTCTTCAGAGTCAACAGAACATGACCAAGCATACACTTTCTGTGCCTCAATTTCATTATCTGTATAATGTAAACGATAAAAGTAACACTTCTCATATCTGTTATTTAAACTACAAATTCATGCAAAGACTGACAATAGAAATCTGAGCAAGCACTAATAAAGCTGCTTGTTACTAACATCTATAGCTAGTCCAAATCTTGGGATGTACTTCACTGGCAGAGGGCAGGCTGAACATCCATGGAACTCTTGGCTCAATTCTCAGCCCCAAAACAAGAACCAAGAAATGTCTTAAAAGACACTCATGGAAAGTTGGTTTAAAGCATATCTGAGTGTCACTACTGGTCTTACATGTAACTTCAGTGTTTTCAAAGTTTGAATGTGTACCAAGAAATGACAGCACAGAATCCATCCATGCAGTTAGATGCCAAGGCTGTGCAGCTTGCCTTCATCCAAAACTCTGTGGAGCCACAATGCACATCAATCACAATTACAGCACAGGAAAATCTGCTGCAGAACATACCTTACAGGTGTTTGCTTTGGTACAGCTAGTGTTTCTCTAATACTGCTCCTCAGAAGCTGCCATCTATGTTGCACTCCATGGCCCCAAAACTCTCCTCATGTGTGAAAAGCCTGAGTAGTTATGAGGTCTGTCTTGCTGTTTGGTGGCCCTTCCTGTTCTCAAACTAGTTTTGTACTTAATAGTATGGCTATATCCACACACATTAATTACTGAAATATGACTGTGATTAAGTTGCCTGTGCCTATGAAATTCTAAGAGGGTGCTTTGAAAAAGCTCAATAAAAGGAAATCATTGAAAAGAAGTTTGTACATTTTAAAATAAAACCTGAAACAACTTATACTTCATACTCTGCAGAGGTCTATCAGATTCCTCACTACCAGGGAAAACATTTTTGGAAGGATGAATTACAGATATGGCTTAATGCCCCAGACCTGAAGCAAAAGCTTTGGTGCTAAATATATGAATTACTACATTTTTCTTCTTTTTTTTTAAAATTTATTTTTATTATTTTTAATTATGCCTGTGTGTCTGGGTATATGTACATGTGAACAGAGGTGACTATGCAGAGGCCTAAGGCATCATATGCACTTGGAGCTGGAGTTTGTGAGCTAGAAGGTGAACTGCCCAATGGGGATCCTGAGAACCAAACTTAGGTCCTTTCCTCTGCAAGAGTAGTGAAAACTGTTTAGTACTAAATTTTATCTCCAGCCCCCTATATTCTCTACTTTGAAAATGTGTCAGTAAGTGTATTTGTGTGTGAGAGTATGCCCACATGTGGAGTTGTCCCCAAGGGGGCCAGAAGAGTCATGGTCTCTCTTGGAATGGGAACTAACTTGGCATTTTCTGCTGCATAATATGGGTGCTAAGAGCCACTATACTCTCCGGTCTTTGTGCTTGGGCAGCAAGAAGAACTCTTAAATTGCTAACTCACTTTTTCATATGCACTTAAATACTTCATATTAAAATTTTGGAGGAAAGAATTTTAAAAAATTCAGTTTTACCTGACTTTTCAAATAGAACCATTGCAAGAGTACTTTCATTTGAGAAACTTCTATCAGTTTTGTCAAACTGAATTTTCTCAACTAAATTCAACCAAACCTAACATTTTATAAAACACAAAATGCTGGTTATAGAGAAATAACCAGTACAGAGGAATCTGAGCCCTTCTCAAGAAGTCAGCTGCCACCACAATCACCATATGTGGTGCTCCTGGTCCAGAAGTAGCCTTACTCGTCCCTGGCACTCTGATGTATTGATCTTTACAAGCGTCTATCAAAACAGGAGTTAAGAATATAAATTCAAGGCTAAAGAACAGGAAAACCATTACAAGACGAAATGTGATACTTTTTTAGCACAGAATTAAGTGTCCACATACCTGTTTTTGAGTGGTAATAGATCGCAAGAGCAACACTGTAAAATAAAAACACAGGAATTCAATGTTCTATAAACACACTCATCACTTAATGGACTCGGCACTATCAGGCAGTGATCACTAAATTTAATTAAAAGCCACACAGTCCACCTGTAAAGCCCTATTTCATTCACAGGGCTGATCAGAATATACCTCCATATTAAGTCCCTCTGGTCGTGTCACCCCCCCCCACTGAATTGTCAGATTATCTTGGAAATAATAGGGTAACAATGGGAAGTTATAGCTTTTCTATCAGATGTTTTTGTGTCCTCACTTTTAAAGTTCAGGTACTACATAAAACTGCGACAAATTAAACCTATTTTAGAAACCGCCAATTCACTGCCTACTCATACATACATACATACATACATACATACATACATACTTGTATGTACACACACACGAATAAAAGAATAATGAGTAGCACAAACAGTGGTTGCTAGTCCTCTCACACACCATCTTGGCAAGCTATGCACCACTCACTTTCTGAAATGGTGGTGTAACTTAACCTAGGGCACTATCTTAAACTGTCTAAACTTTCAAATACTAGAATACAATAAACATCCATTTCCCTCGATTTTTCTTTCTAAATGTAAAATGTAATATATTCAACACAGAAATTTTGGAAAATACAAAAAGCTTAAAGAAAATCTGAGTTAAGATGTGGTTCAATGGCAGAGTACTTGCCTAGCATGTATGTGGTCTTGTGTTTGATTCCTAATACTAGCGGGGAAACGACTTTAAAACAAAGTTGTCTTTTAGCAAGGATGGTGGTGAACACTTATAATCCTATCACTTGGGAGCAGGAGAATGGAGATTTCTAGGCCAGCATGGGTACAAAGACTTTGTCTCAAAACAAAAGAAAACAATCTCTTTCCCCTAAATAACTACTATCATTTTGAGCTATACAGTTACTATTTCTACCTATATGTGTATAAACAAAGAGGCTGGCATCCTATGCTTAGATTGCCATTTTAATGCTTTTCTTACCTTAGGAAATATTCCTAATGAACATGATTTTAAAAGCTGCTAGTTACATTTCATTATTTGATTGTTGAATAATCATTCTCTGTGACTGAATATTTAAATTATATGTAATATTCAGTAATTAATTCACATCATAATAAACAGACTCACAAATATCTGTAAAACTATGGCTATATTCTTTTTACAGGAAAACATCCTATAATGGAATCACTTGGTTGCTGGGGCCTCCCAAAACATACTGCTAAGTATCTTGCCAGAGCATGATGAATATACTCCTCACCAGTGTCCTTCGCTTCAGATTCACTAACCTTGAATACTTTGATAAAACCTTTTCCTTCTGAATAGAAAATGGCATAGTTATGATCGTGACTGGCCACCTTTAGGAAATAATTGTTTAAAATTCTTCTATTCCTTTGCCTCACTTTAAAAATGTAGAAAAATAGCTGGGCGGTGGTGGTGGCCACTTTAATCCCAGCACTCTGGAGGCAGAGGGCAGGCGGATCTCTGTGAGCTTGAGGCCAGCCTGATCTATAACAGCTAATTCCAGGATAGGGTCCAAAGCCTCAGAGAAACCCTGTCTCGAGAAACCAAAAAGTAGAAAACGGACTCCAAGTTATATTCCTAGCTTTAACAATACAGATCATTTACAGTGTGCTCTGGTTCTCAGAGAACAGAAATGGCCCATCAAGAAACCACCAGAGGCAAAGATGATGAGAGGGGCAACAACAGAGACCTAAGTCAGCTCTGAGATCTCCAAGAAGCTTGGGTGTGTACTGGACTTACTGAGACTGAACCAGACAGGCCCTGGGACTGGCTTATATTACGACTCACATCTCTTCTCAGACCTAATGACTTACATGAATTCAGGTAGGTATGAGGATACTCAGGACCACGGGGTAACAAGTCCTTCTTCCTAAAATTTCTAAAGGTATGACTATGCTGATAGGGCTTCAGAGTTAAGATAATAATGTTTCCAGAGTATCTTCTCATATATTCATACCCCTATCACAGACCCTAATTCTAAATGAGACATCAGGTTCAAACAGCAGATCAGGATTTCTGCCCTGTATAAGAGTTGTGCCCTTTCCTTCTAATGCATCATCTTTGGAGAGAAGGAAACTACTGCTTAGTTATCAAGTAGTTACAATGTGGTGACAGTAACCTCAAAGATACCAAATGATTTAGGAGAATCTAGTTAATAGTTTGGTCCCAATGTTTCTTTCCATATGGCCAATGGAATTAGAGACACTGGCTAAATAAAACAGATTTGTAACTGCTGGCAGCACACATGACTTGTTAGCCAGAGCTGTATGAGCAGAGTAGATGGCACCCTAAGACCTCTTGTGATCAGTCAAGAGGCAGCTGTCATAAATGACCATGTGAGCGAGGCATGAACAGTGGAACAAAAGAATTCCCAGGTTCCCTGTACTCCTCTTGAGCCATCATTTGTGATTGTTCTAGGATTTAATGTGAGGAGCTGGCTATGGAGGTGTGGAGACTGGAAAGTTCAGCTCCATACCACAGACTTGGCATTTAAAGCAGTGACAGGGAATCCAACTTCAAAGGAAGGACTATATTCACTGGAAGTACAAGGTCACTTTTCACTTGTCCTACTGTTGGCCTCACACTGACCCTCCAGCCTATCCCCCCAGTAGAGTTCACCTATCCACTTCTCCCTGATAGACTCATCCCCAAACCTCTAGTCATCCTGGCCCCAGCAAAATTTGAACTTTCTTGCCAACTCAAACAATCCCCAACTTACAGGAGTGTTGTCACATCAAATCAGTTTATGAACCAGGGGTTTAGAACTCAGAGTACTCTCTCAAAGGAACAGCAGCTGGCTTAGGAAATCCATGTTCTGCCCAAGATATTCAGAATATCCAAAAAAAAAAAAAGTTCTTAATAATGTTTGATCAATTCAATGACAAAAGATTGAAAGAGTCTTGGACTTAAGAGAGACAGAGAATCAGAAAAATGAATGGGATGTTCTTTTAGTAGGTGACCGTAAGGTTATAAGAAGTGGTGTGGGGCTGAAATCTGGCTGCTTTGTCGACCTTCACTGCTTCTTCTTTTCTTCTAAGCATCTCTCTTATGGTGCAGAGCTACTGTCTAGAGAACTCATCAGGTTAGCTACTCCCTCTAGTTTTTGAGCACTCCGTCTCCTTGATCATAAATAAGAAGCCTGTACCTGTAGAGGATTCCAATGGCCCAACCTACTTCCCAGAGCCCATTTCAAAAGAGGATACCTTTTACAGCAACTGAAGCAGTAACTGAAGGAATTTCAAGTTTAGGGGGTTTAGATAAAATGTCTAAGTTAAAGAGATGTTGGAGAGGGAAAAAGACAGACATCCCTTAAATATAGAATCTTCACCCTTGGCTACCTATAAGACCCTCCCAGAAGTGGTTTCAAAGTTCAGTTTTCTAAGCCACACCCCCAGGCAGATGCCTCCAGAATGTATATATTACAAAGTTAAGCCTCCAGGTGACCTCCATTGACAACTTATGTGAATGAATCCACAACTATAACCAGGTACTTGAACCTCTCAGATATGTCACCTGGTTTTCCCACCAGGTTCCTAGTATCTGTTTCATAACCAGTGGTAATATTAAGTAACCTAAGGGCAGGAAGTAGAGAGCTTGGTTAGATCTCTCTGTGAACTTGAAGAGCTCACACTACCTCGGATACACTCCATTCTACTCTCATCTGATCTAGGATTCAATGGGAACTGGTAGATTTCACTCCAGGTTCCTCAGAGCTTAAACAACTGCCCCAAACCACAGGGCACAGAAATCTTCAGGCCTCCCCCACTCCCCACTTCCAAGGACTACTTATTTCTAAAAGGTTCTGTACTGTCCATCTCCTAGCAGTGAGCTCCATCCTAAGAAATGAATGCACTAGGAGAGGTCACTCAGATAATTATACTATATGCTATGATGATCTCTTCCCAGTTCCCATGGTGACCATCTCAAATTATGCTCACTGGCCATCACCCCATGCCTAAGTGCTGGGGCATTGAGGGAAAGGAACCCTATGCTTGATCAAGGGCCTCAGTTTCCCCCTTACAGGACTAAGACACTGACCATGGAAACTAGTTACAGTCCTCAATACCTGGACTAAGGCAGTGACTGTCACATACAATCATAAATTGTGCCTCCAACTCAGAAAACTTGGTTCATGAAAACAGAACCCTTTATAGGTAGTAATTTTAGCAATTTTTATGATAATATGGGTTGTTATTAGATGTGTACTTTCTTAAACAGATATAAAATGTCCCAGATTTTCAGTAAAGTTATTGATATTCAGACCCTAATATAAAAAGGCTCTGAGACCTCTGGCAGGCCTGGCTGCTGTCACTGTGCTGATGGGGACAGGACAGTACAGAGAAAATAGCTCTTTGCTTCTTTAAATGAAGAAAGGAAGGAAGGAAGGAAGGAAGGAAGGAAGGAAATGTAATTTCCTCCATTTTTCCTCAGATCAGGATCTGAGGCCAAATATAGAAGGATACTACAACCTAAATCCCCACCCCCCCCCAACTGCGAAGAAGATCATGATTAGACTATCCTACTTTCAGCATAGCCTAAGTCCCCATCTGGGTTTTGGAGGGAGGAAGTCTCATTTCATTTAAACAAGTCAAAACACCATTGGCTCTGTGCTGGCATGGATTCAGTCAAAATTGAAAGGGCAAAACTGTACATATATAAACACAAAATAATGAACATATTTTAGGACATCACTAAAGTAAGGTAAAGACGCTAGTTTCTTTATATAAGTAGAAATATGCACAAATATCTTAATATTCACAGTCACTTAAAAAAAATTCTTAAGTGTCAGTGACCCACATGTTTCTACTCTCCCAGGTCCTATAAAAAGCTTTTTGGTGAGGGAAAGAAGTCTGAACATCAGTGGTTAAAAGCACTGCTTGTTCTTCCAGAGGAGCCAGGGTTCAATGACCAGTACCCACAAGGCAGTTCACAACATTCCAGTCCCAGGGGGTCTGATTCCTTCTTCTGGCCTCCAAGAACACTGTATTCACATATTACAAACATTTATACAGGCAAAATACCCATACACATAAAACAAGAGAAACTTAAACAAAACAAACAACAAAAACCTTGCCAGGTACAGTGGCACGTGCCTTTAATCCCAGAACTTGGGAGGTACAGGAAGGAAGATGTCTGTGAGTTCAGGGCCAGCTTGGTCTACCTACAGACACGGTTACAGAGATCCTGGCTTTAAACACCACCACCAAAACAAACAAACAAGCCTTCAAACCCCAAACCAAATAAACAAAAAAGAAGTCCACACACCCACCATTTGATGGTATACTTGAGGTTTGGCTGACTGACTGTGCTGTCATCTAGGAAGATGGTGGAGCAGGAGCTGTACTTCCTTGATGTCTGGCCTGGAGGATGCTAGAAAACAAGATGACAACAGTTACACAAGGCTTAAAATTTTGCAATGTGTCAGCTAGTTTTGTCAACTTGATACAAGCTGCAGTCTTTTGGAGGGAGGGATATCAGTTGAGGAAGGGCCTCCACCAGATTGGACTGTGGGAAAGTCTGTGAAGCATTTTCTTCATTGATGATTTATGTGGGAAGGCCCAGGAAATTGTGGGCAGTGCTACCCCCAGGGCTGATAGCCCTGGGTGCTGTAAGTCCTTGCTTGCCATGAGGAGCAAGTCTGTAAGCAGTGTTCCTCCATGGCCTCTGGTTCCTGCCTTGAATTCAGTAGGCAATAGAACTATGATTGGGACATTTAAGCTGGATCAAACCCCCTCTTCAAGTTGCTTTTGGTCATGGTATTTTACCACAGCAACAGAAACCATAACTAAGGCACAACCTGACCCTTTCTCTGAGATCAGACCACAAAGGAAACATGTCTTAGCAAGAACTCCACCACAATTACTAACAGGGTAGAAATACTAGGCCACACTGGGATTTGTCTTGTTCTTCCTCACTAAGTCATCACCACCACTCCTAGTCCCCATCTTCTTTATGGGACCACTGGAAACAGGATGTCTGCAGTGGACATTTAGTGAATACATACAGGGAAGGTGGCATTTTACTTTTATGAAGTAAGATCAAGTTGAGAATCCACTGTACCCATTTTTGTAGGTGCAAAGTTGACTTGAGAGCCATAAATAATTCAGCTCAGATCAATAAAAAACCTGTTGCCTAATATGCTTAAATTCACATGAATTTCTAAGTGGAAATTTCTTATGTTAGGGACACATTGTATTCTGAAGTGGAAGACTGGGCTTTTGCACAGATGACCTTTAGGCAACAGGTGCTCCTGTGATTGTGGTTTCTTAGTGACCACACAAGTTCAAGTTCTGTGGAGAACTTTAGCAAGAAGACAGTTTCTGATAGGCAACATGAACTTTACAGCCATGATTGATAACTGAATACTAAGAGGATACTTGTCAAGTGTTTGGGAAACAGGGTTAGTAGACTTCCATCTGGGTAATGGGGGGGGGGGGGGTTGGAAGAGGGAGGAAGAAAGGAGAAGAATCATCAAACCATGCAAACAAGGTTCATCTTGTCTGACACTATTTTTACAGGCAGGTGTCATTGTCACCAACCCTTATAAATCACACAATCACCTGCCTGACCTGTCTATGTTTAGCAAAACCCCCTGGGATAAAAGTACCTGAACTAAGGCTCAGATGTCTACTCCACATGTTCACATCTGCTTCCTATCTGTAGGTTTTCTCTGCAGTGAAACTATAAAAATCTGCAGCAACTTAAGACATATATAAAAAATGCTAAAACCACAATTTTCCCTTGAGAATACTTACTGTTTAGCATTTAGTTGTGTGGCTCTTTAAAATAGCTTTAGAGTGCATCACTAGCAGCAGTGCTGTATTTTGTTAGCAGCAGAAGGGTCAGAGGCACTAGCCTCAGGCCATTAGGTATGCTCTCAGGCCTCCAGCTCAAGCTCACTCCTAGGTGCTTGTGTGTGGAAAGGGTATTAAAAAAGGTTGCAAAGTTCAGGTTAGGATTTCAACATTAAGTTTATCATGGCATTTCAGGTCAGTCAATTAATCAATATTCTCCTTAAGGTATTCTGAGATGATATTAAAATCTATTCTATTGTAGCTACAACACTGAAGCAATATGGTATTAAGAAATATAAGAAACGAAGAAAGGCCCTAATTATGGTATTTTCATGCTACAGGAACAAAATCTACCTACTGCATCAACAGATTCTGACATAAAATTCAGCATCCAATTATCATGCTAATAAATACTTTAGAGACATGTTAGTAATTCAAACAAAGCCAACAGACAAATGGTATTTTACTTCTAGATCCTTCCTCTCTAGTAAATTCCCTGAAAACAAAAGTGTGATGCAAATTCCCAAGAAGCTGTGGGGAGGGCAGTGCTCCCCCTGCAGCAAGGAATACAGCCTGAACCCCCCTTCACCTAGCTCTGAGCCGGTGGGCAATAGCACACACTAGATATGCAGACTGAGGGGTCAAATGTCAGTTTAGTCTCTCACCAAGGTATCAGTCCTGTCCTGGGATAAACCAGCTTTTAGTCACAGCATCCCAGAACTTATAGCTAACATCCCTTCTACAATGACAACAATTCCACTCCCAAACCAATAATTTCTATAACTAGTCCCCTCACCCCCCAAATTTCAGCTTCAGAGTACTTTGTCACATTAGGTGCCATCGGCATCAAGCCACTATTTAAAATTCTCAGAGTGAAAGCTGTCTTTGACCTAAAACCTCATGCCACTAACATGCTAAAAGGGGAACCCTACCAGGTGTCAGGGGTGCTGCCTTGTTTGGGTTTGTGTGCTGAGCTGTTCCTCTAAGAGCACAGCATCAGGACCACAGGGCCAAAACATGGCCAGCTTTAACTTCCCAATGCCTCTGATTGGCACCAAGGCACTAGTTGTGATTTCAAGAGTCAGTCACAGAACACTCACTCAGGCTTCATCAACATTTGAAATGCTATTCAATATGCTAGGTAGTTCTCAGCTTCAGCCAAATGTTTTATTTATGTTATTGCCCTATGATTCTGAAATTATACAACAAAACAGTATGCTTCTACACGTGTGGCATACACTCTCCCTGCAAGTTCCAATCTGCTAGTAAAAAGATGACAGGAAGAGGCAAGGCAGACACTGGCTACAAACCACAACAATGACCAGCACAGTAAGATATAGCCAAGGATGTAGTAGTGACATTTCTATCTTTAGGGTAACCAACAGGTATCTAATTAGACCTGAGGTCCATTCAAAAGGAGGGAATTCATGCCTGGTACTGTAATTTAACCAAACACTAATGGCTGGTGAGGCTATGAACCCTAGAGGAGAACCCACTAGTGACAATTTCCTAAACTAGTATAATTCCCAACTCCAGTCTAAATATAATATCCCTATTTCCACACTGATAAGTGTAACTCTCCTTGATCATCAATGAAACAATTTTTTTTTTTTTTTTTTTTTTTTTTTGAGCAGATGGGCCATCACAGAAATTTACACCTGGTCAAAACACAGAAAACTACTGAAGATAGGGTGCCCATCCCTAGTTGCTGTATCTATAGCACAACTAACAAACAACATGGAAGATGTTCTGGGCAGAAAAACTATAAACGCCAGAAGATCAGAGCGTCTGCTGAAGAACAGACATTTTCTATATATGACACAGAGGTGCTCCCATGAAATCTTAACATTATGTCTATCTAAACAAGACTTGCACAATGATACAACTAGCTGATATTCCAAGGTGGAGGGGGGATAAATCTCACAAGGTCCTACCTCTAGATGAAGAACAGGCAACTAATGGTTGCTTAGTGAGGGAGAGTCAGTCTTTTCCAGGGATGAGTTCCAAGTCATCCAATCCCAAGTGGTCAGCCCAAAAAACACATACATATGAGCAACACTAAATAGACTCAGCAGGTTGTATTCATATATAAGTGTATGTTTCTCTGTCATACTGTGTATGCGTGCGCATTCACGCGCATGGGGGGGGGGGGGGGGGGGACGGGTGGAGTAAGAGAGAGGGAGAGAAAAGGAGAAATAATTAAGGAAAGTCATGAAGTTGAGAGGGAATAGTTGGGAGGAGGAAGAGTGTGAGTGGGACTGATATAAACATGTAACCATATATAACAACCTCAAAAATGGTAACAAAATAAAATTTAAGTATAAAAGAGGGACACAGACACTATGACACCAGTCTGAGTTTGCCCCCTAAGTAACTGACTGCCTGCCTGCTAGGTTATTTTGCCCCCCTCTTCTTAGCTGAATTTACTTGTCTTAGAGCAGTGAGAATAGCAGACATAGCTTCATATAGTCACTATGAGGAATACTTGATATGTTTGTAAGTGTTAGGGACAGGGTGGCATGCAGGAGACTGCTTCTGTACACAGGACTATATGTTTAAAAATGCCAAGAATGCCTTCGAAGTGGGATGTCTATAACATTCTAGAACACAAAAGAAAATGCCCATGACAGTGCTTTACTAAAAAGAGGCTTAATGGTGCAGACAGCTGAGAATTCCCTGTTACAGTTGTCTCAGTGACAGAGGAACAATCTCCAGCTCATGGCACGTCTGCTTAGAAGAGGACTCAGGCGAAAACCCACCAGGAAGAAGCAGAGCATGGATTATCTCCAATGCAGTAAGAGCACTTTTCTTTCGAACAATGAGTATTTTACAAAGTAAATTATGAATATGCTAAACGAGGTCACTGTAGAGGTACTACTAAAACAAGTCAATCTTTCTACACAATGTCCATAATACATGATAATTTACTATTTACATATATGTACTAGGTCCACTAGCACATAAAAGCTGTTGGGACTGCATGTTGAAAAGGCTAAATACAGTTATTACCTTGAGTTTTAGATATTAAGGCTATCTGCTTAGTAATCTCAACACTGACGACAGTCAGGTCCAAGAAACAAGTGTGCCTATACAAGCACACATACACCACATTAAGTGACCCTAGCCTTCATCTCATGTATCTTACCACTGTCACAATTACCAAATCAGGGAGAGGCCATCAGGAAGAATCTGCTTACCTTGAAGGTAACCTAGCCACACTGCATATAAGTACCTTGAAGGCATTTTCCTTCTCTGTTTGGTTTGTCCCTCAGAACTACTCCTCATGCTGCCTGCACGATAATGTCTATAGCTGTTGGGACTGTGTCCTCTCCTTGTGCTCTGTGCACCTTGTATTCACCTTAAGGATACTAACCATGTTATGCTGTCACCTGCATTCACTCAGCTGGATTCTGTCTAGTGCCAGGACTCAGGCTTTGAGTCACTAGATGGGCAGCCGCTCAGTTTCTTAGGGGGTACATGTTCACAGTCCTACACCAAGCCTAGAAAGTCTGTGTCCCCATGATGAGCGCAGGGTCCTGTGGGAGCCTACTGTGTGACGGCAACAAAGTGACACCT